CATGATGTTACAGATTCTCTCCTTTTGTTGTCATCAATCTCACAGTCACAAACCATTTATCACCTCACATCCAAAGTCGTATGGTGTCAAGTGATTTGCCAGAATCATCCTACAGTCATTTTTATCAGCTTGTTTTGCTTCTTTCCAGCAAACCACGTAAATGAAAAGTGATTCAGCTTTTTGCAGTTAGAGAACTGTTTCCCTAAATTTGAAAATGCCTCCTTTACTTTTGTGCGGTGTCCTCTACAATGTTTGTATCCTATACTCTGACCTGGATCGTTTTGCTGACTTTTCTGCAAACATTTGTTCCATCTTCCCCAATCTGTTGTCTCGTTCAGCCTGGACTGTGTCTCAACAAAATGCATGCCTCATCCATTCTCCCATCAATAAGCTCTAAATGATGATTGATAATCTCAGAAATTCTCAAGTAAATCACGTTCTTGAGAGTAAGGACCTAGGTCTCTCTATCAATAAGTCACTGAAGGCTAACATGTGGATGCAGAAAACTATTAGGAAGGCTAATAGAATATTAGCCTTCATTACAAGAGGATTTGAGTACACGAGCAGTGGAGTCTTGCTTCAATTGTACAGGAGCTTGGTTAGATTGCAACTGGAGTACCGTGTGCAGTTTTGTTCTCCTTATCTCAAGAATAATATCATTGCTATAGAGAGAGTGCAATGAAGGTTCACCAGTCTCATCCCCTAGATGGAGGGATTGTCCTGTGGAGAGAGTTTAGGTAAACTGGGTCTGTGTTCTGTAGATTTTCGAAAGATGATCTATGGTATGGACAGGGTAGTTGCAGGTAAGATGTTTCCCCTGGTTGGCAGTCTAGAATCAGGAGGCACAATTTAAAACTAAGGGGATGCAACTTAAGTGTTTAAGGTAGAGATTGACAGATTTCTGATTGCCAGTGCTATATGGAGTTATGGGAATGTGGTGAGTAAAAGAACAGTCCAATCAGGGATATTAAATGGTGGGGCATGCTTGATGGGCTGAATGGCCTACTCTTGTTCCTATGTTCCTCTCTCAGCAGATGTGCTCTCATGACGGGATCTCATAGGAGGTGAGATCCTCTTTCAATTGTCCAAACTCAGTGAGATGTACCGATGTAGTCACAAACTGATCAGCGGAGTGGGGAGAAAAAACCCAATGCTGTCTCATCTCTTATTTCCACAGCAGCAGGGACTGAGAAATACATTTTGATGCATTTTGATTCACCAGTAACTTAAAGTTGTAGACCTTTATTTCTCATTTCTTGCTCATTGTTTCTTTCAGTAGCTGGTTCTAGTGACAGCTTTGAAAATCCACACATTTCACTACCTGCTACAAATTGTACACAGCAGCAGGGGGCGAGGTCACATGAGTACGGCAAGCCCGACAGTACACAAAGTACACCAAAAAATTGGGACTGTTTTACTTGGAGAAGCAAAAGCTGAAAAAAAGATTTCATCAAGGTGCTCAAAACCTGGGTAGAGTCTGGATAGAGTAAACTGGGGGAGAAAATTGTCTCTACCGAAAGGATCAAGAATGACAGGGCCGAGATTGAAAATAATTGTCCAAATAAGTATAACTGTCTTGATGTTTTCAAGCAGTGAAGGGTCTGGAGTGCACTGTCAGAGAGTGTGCAGGAAACAGCCTCATTCAGACCCCTGTTATCTGACAGGAGGCAGGAGAATGGGATGAAGCAAATCGATTGCTCAGGAAGGAGTAAAAAAAACAAAAAAAACTTGTAAATGATGCACATTGGTCCGAGTTGTACGCCTCACAACAAATCTCCAGTCCAACCAGCACATACATTTCTCAACGCAGCAAACTTTTTATTAACCGACACTTATGGGACCAGGAATATACCGATTGATCAAATATTCCGGTTGATCAAAAGATCCACATAATCAATGTAAAAACAGATAGATGCAAAGTAACAGAAACAAAATGCAAGAGGTATACACATTATATGTTAATTATAGTATAAATCACTGAAATAATAATGCAATTTTTCCTTAAATAAAACTTACTGGCAGAGAGCCTCCTTTCTCATTATGACATCTCAGCATCACAGAGATTGCAACAATGCAGTAAATTGGTGGTTTTTGAGGTATATAATTTTTGCTACTTTATCAAGAGCGCCAGTTCATAACTTGCCGGTTAAAATCTCTGATCTCAAAACTCCGTGACCTTAGTCTCAGCTCCACCCTCTGCAACTGGATCCTCAGCTTTCTGACCCACAGACCGCAATCAGTGAGGATAGACAACTGCACCTCCTCCACGATAACACTCAACACTGGAGACCCCCCGCAAGGATGCATCCTCAGCCCTCTACTGTACTCCCTGTGCACCCATGACTGTGTTTCCAAATTCTGAACAAACGCCTCTACAAGTTTGCTGATGACACCACCGTGGTAGGACAGATATCAGACAACGACGAGTCAGAATACATAAAGGGAGATAGAGGGCTCGGTGACCTGGTGCAATGAGAACAAACTCTCTTTCAATATCGGCAAAACTAAAGAAATGATCATTGACTTCAGAAAGAAAGGAGGAGAACACGCCCCCATCTACTTCAACAGAACTGAGGTTGAGAGGACTGAGAGTAGCAAGTTCCTTGGAGTGACGATAACCAACCGCTTGTTGAGGTTGATTGGATCGCCGAGCTGGTTTGTTGTTTTGCAGATGTTTCGTTACCATGCTGGGTAACATC